TGCTTATTCGAATCAGATACGAGTTTGTTTTTCTGATCTAGGAAAAAATTGGATAACTGAAAGTAAACGAAGAGAGATTTGTAGAAGCCCTAGGGTTCTATGTAGTTTTCTGATAGCTGCTGTATCGAACTTCCGTATTTTGTGGAATACACCTAAAAATGAGTATGAAACGAGGGTTTGGTTGCATAAAAATTGTGCCTTTCCCCCTTATTCAGCAGTTGGTTTATTATAATGGAATATGGTGTTTTATTGCTCTCCTTATATCCATTTCCGATCTCTTTATTCTCTATTCCTTTTGGGTATCTTGTTTTATGAACATCTGAATCGTGTACTTATAATCTTAGGCATTTATCTAAATTAAGTTAATCTGGACTAGAATCTAGATCAATCAGAATATTTGTAATCTGAACTTGTTCATTTTGGGATACTTTATGTTAGGCACCAATGAAGGGCATTCTTTCTCTGCAAAGGGCTGTTCTATCAAGGCATCAACATGCAAACTGGGGGATAAATGCTACCGCTAGACTTTTCAGCACGCAGTCTGCAACAACCGCCACCACCCCCCAACCACCACCACCACCACCTCCACCGGAAAAAACCCACTTTGGTGGCCTGAAAGATGAAGACCGAATCTTCACAAACCTATACGGTTTACACGACCCCTTTCTCAAAGGCGCAATGAAACGTGGCGATTGGCATAGAACTAAAGATATAGTAATCAAAGGTGCTGATTGGATAGTAAACGAAATGAAAAAATCCGGCCTACGTGGACGTGGAGGTGCTGGTTTTCCATCAGGGCTAAAATGGTCATTCATGCCAAAAGTATCCGATGGTCGTCCATCTTATCTTGTTGTAAACGCAGACGAAAGTGAACCCGGAACTTGCAAAGATAGAGAAATCATGCGTAACGATCCACACAAGCTTCTAGAAGGATGTTTAATAGCTGGAGTAGGTATGCGTGCAACCGCTGCCTACATTTACATCAGGGGCGAATACGTAAATGAACGTTTGAATTTAGAAAAGGCAAGAAAAGAAGCATACGCAGCTGGATTACTCGGAAAAAACGCGTGTGGGTCCGGGTATGATTTCGATGTCCATATCCATTTCGGAGCCGGAGCCTACATTTGTGGTGAAGAAACCGCGCTTCTCGAATCCCTCGAGGGCAAACAAGGAAAACCGCGTTTGAAGCCGCCTTTTCCCGCCAACGCGGGGCTATACGGGTGTCCCACAACCGTCACAAATGTCGAAACAATCGCGGTGTCGCCGACTATTCTAAGGCGTGGGCCCGAGTGGTTTTCTAGCTTTGGTAGAAAGAACAATTCGGGGACTAAACTTTTCTGTATATCAGGTCATGTGAACAAACCGTGTACAGTGGAAGAGGAGATGAGTATTCCATTGAAGGAGTTGTTGGAGCGGCATTGTGGCGGTGTGAGGGGCGGATGGGACAATTTGCTAGCGGTGATTCCGGGTGGTTCTTCTGTTCCTTTGCTTACAAAGGATTTATGTGAGGATGTGTTGATGGATTTTGATGCGTTGAAGGCTGTTCAATCTGGATTGGGGACTGCTGCTGTTATTGTGATGGATAAGTCGACTGATATTGTGGATGCGATTGCGAGGCTTTCGTATTTTTATAAGCATGAGAGTTGTGGTCAGTGTACGCCTTGTAGGGAGGGAACTGGGTGGCTTTGGATGATTATGGAAAGGATGAAAGTTGGGAATGCGAAATTGGAGGAGATTGATATGCTTCAGGAAGTGACTAAGCAGATTGAAGGGCATACTATTTGTGCACTTGGTGATGCTGCTGCTTGGCCTGTTCAAGGGCTTATTAGACATTTTAGGCCTGAGATGGAGAGGAGGATCAGGGAGCGCGCTGATCGGGAGTTGCTTCAAGCAGCTGCTTGAAATCAGGTTTGCAAATTGTTGTACAACACTCTTTTTTTTTTTTTTTTTTTTTTTTTTACGAATTTGTGAAATATAAAAGGTCTACCTGATTATGGCAGTGAAAATTAGATTTTTATAAATTATAATGCTGTTTACATTTTTGGTTTGTAGGCTGAATGATTTCATACATGGAGGAAAACAGTGAGGCGCCTTTGGGGGGCATCATATGATTAATGTTTTAAGGTTTTTGTTGAACTACAATGTGATTGAAAACAGTACCCTCTCTTTAGATTGGGGGTGACTTTTGTGTGTTACTGTTTAAGGATACAAAGACAATCCTATGGTTATTATTGAACTTCAGTTAGCCATATGCTTTTGGACATGTGTCAAAATGTTAATAAGCCGAGTGCATTGTTGTAATCATACAATGGAAGCTTTTTATAAGTTCCAAGTTTCATGCCATGTTAGAACATAAACTATTTGTGGTTTTTTTTCATCTTGAATCGACAAAAGGGGGATTCTAATTCTCTTTCAAAATTCACAAGATATATTGTAATGGAGCTTATGCTTATTTAATGGTTCATAACTTTTATAGTATTTTGTATGAGTATACATGTAAAATTAATGAAATTTATAACAACATATAATAGAAAAGATGTTATGAAACATTAGGATCATCCAGATTGTAAATCTATAATTTTCATTTGTTGAACGCTATTACAGTGTAAAAAAAACAGTGTAACTACTTGCGCCACTGTTTCTTTTGTTGAATCATGCGGTTCATAGTTGGATCAATAAATCCAAATTTATGTGAATGACCCTTATATTATTTTCCTTCACTCATAAATATCCGAGTTATAGAAATATCCCTAGAATCCATCCAAACAACTATTTTTAAAAGGTTTTGGTTCAAGCTTTTAACAGTTTTTTAGAAATTATTAAATTTATTTTACAGCTTATTGTTTTATAATCTCTTTTTATAAATTTGGTTTTTCTATAGAATTATTTTGTGCGTTTTTGTTTTTATGTATATTTTAAAAATTGTAAATCAAGTCTTTCTCTATTAATTCATTTTATATCTAAATCCACAACGATCATACCGTAGTTTAAAACAATTTGTAGCCACCAATCCACTATCATTTACCACTACAAGCATCCACGTACCACCATCATCGTCTACCTACCTACCTACCTACCTGAAAGACTCTAATTTTGAAAAAAGCGATTCTAGATGGCTTCCAAGCAAGATTATACGGAACAAAAACAAAAACAAGTGAAATTTGCAGTTTTATTCATCTTCGATGGATGTTCGATTGATCTCATAGATAACTTTAATTATGCTAATTTCAATTTGGCATATATTGTAGGGAAATTAGGGTTTGTGGTGGAGATCTGGATACCAACTTGGATCGTGATATCACTTTCGAACTGATATTTCTACCCTATATCTGGGTTACAAGAAATTTAACTTAGGATAATCAAAGTGGACACTTACGATTCTAGGCACAGAAATCGTAAGCCAATATGTTAGAAGATTCTGTGAAAGTATGATGAAAAACGAGAGCTTAAGATTGTAAACCTCTTCTGAAGAGAAAGAACTGTTTATATATTAAACGAGATTAGGGTTTCATTAGGGTTGGACTGTCATTAGTTGCTTTGGAAGCAAGTCATGATAATCCGGATTTAATGAGGATTTAGGGTTACCAAAACTAACGAGTTTCGTTAGTTTTACCATAATCATTATCAAGAAATTAAATTTTCCACTATGTTCCCATATGTAAAATACGGTGAGGTTTTGGGGCGCTACCCCCAGCCAGGGGCTTTGCCCCTTGGACCCCGCTAGGGGCGCTGCCCCTAGACCCCGCTAAAGGGCGTTGCACCTTTGGAAACCTCGGACCCAGGGGCGCTGCCCCCAGACCCCCGACTACTCGTCGAACCGACTTCTAATTCGATCTTATACATGCGTGAACTCCGCACAACCCCATACATATATTAGAGTACAAATTATGAAGCCCTTAGCTCACATGTTAGTTCCAGTTACTTAAAGTACTAAAATCATCGACATATCTCCCATTCAAAGTTTGACGATTTGGTTCTAGAAAAGGAGAAGAGTTTGAAATCTCTCAATTTTCAAGCATCCGATTAGAAGATGAAAACCAACAAAGATTGAAGAAAAAAGTCCTTCAAAATTTACATGTTTTGTTGGGAGGATTAGATGAATATAATTACACTTTTGGATTAGGTTGAGTTACAGAAACCAAGATGTTCTTTTCGTCTCTATGTATTTCTCCTTACTAGAAGGATAAGAAGGTCTCGAAAAATGTTTTTTCTTCTGGCAACCACTTATGGTACTCCGATGCTTTAAGACCCACCTCAAACAGGCAAATTCCAGTAACTACAACCACTGCATACCTCCATGCTCTTCCTCACCTCTATAAATTTATAAGAAATGGTTTTATAAGGAACAAAACCTTTGGATTAATAGATCTATGGAGATGGGAAGGGACGAGAGAGACATGGGAAAGGGGTAGTGGATGATGGTCGGTGGTGTTTATAAACTATGGACTAGAAGAAGAAGATGATGATGAAAATGGGAGAATGTGAGCTTATTGAGATAGAGAAAAAAAAAAAAGGTTGCTGGGAAGGGTTGGGTTAGGGTAGGCATGTAGGGGTGTAAGTAGATCCTTTTAATTTTTTTAATTATAAATTATGAATTAATAATAAATGAGATTTTTTAATATATGCCCTAAGGGTACATATAAGAAGTATTAATTAATCACAATTATTACCATAATTAAATGTGAAATGCATTAATTATAGAGATTATTAATAAATTTTATATTTAATTATGATAATATTTCTTATAATTAATGTGTTTAACATTTAATTATATTAATAATTATGATTAATTAATACTTTTTATATGTGCTTTAGGGCATATATTAGAAAATCCCATAATAAAAAAGGAAAAAGATATTAGAAAATATATAATAGTTTTTTATATGGATCAAAGGACTTTGAGTGTAATTTGCCAAAAACAAAAGGATGTAAAAGGATGTAAGCTATCAATTTTTTCTATAAGAGACTAAAATTACGGATCTTACCAAATGGCACCATTTGTGTAATTTACTAGTGATATCAACCTTACATAAATAAAATAAAAATAAATAAAAACAAAAAACGGCTGGAATGGGATTTTTCATATAATAATTTTCTGGCTTTCCTTCCAGTAGTCCACATCTTCTGGCCAAGAATTTTAGACAAGGACCCAGACGACTGTGGGTATCTGCTTCTTCCTGATGGCAAATGCAATGGCGTCTCACTTAATCGCATTCCGGAAGGTTAGACCACTTTACCTTTTTCTAGTTCACTCGTATTTTACAATTCGACTTGTTTCGCTTAGGTTTTGGGCAAAACTGTGTAGATTGAGTAGTTATTATGTAGCTACGGATGAAAGTTTTTTCTGGATCTCTAATCTCTGTCGAATGAAATAAAATAGCCGCAGATGATGCAACATCATCAGATTGTGTGCAGAAAGAAGGAAAAAGGTCGAGATCAGAATTATCCCTATAAAGTCATCGAAGTTACTCCTCCTCCTAAAAGCCTTGGCGTTCGCTGCTTTCCTCCTGTAAGCATCCTCAATTTCAATTTCATCATCTGGTGTTACAATTCTGCTATTTTTTCATTTTGTGATTGCCTCCAAAATAAGGGGAAACTACTCCACCTTCTCATATCTGAAATTGATTTCCGGAAACATTTTTTGTTATGATTGGAAATGTAGCTACCGATTTTGTGTCAAAGAGTTATAGATTTTGCGTAGAAAATTAGGCATCCGAATTGTGAAAGTCAGCTGTAACTCTTGTTTTCTAAAAATGGAGTGCTATTTCGTTTAGTCTAATCACATTATGAAGTTGGGAATAATTACTTAATTTCACAATTGTCTCCATTACAAATTTTCTTTCAACCACTCTTTGCTTTTCCAAATTTGATTATTTAACCCTAAATACAGAAGATCAGAATCATAGTCACTCTTAACAAAACAGGCTGATTATAATCACTTTATGCTTAATTGTCTAATGAATGTGTAGAAGATATACACCATTCTTCTTGTTAGTTATTTCTTAGTGTCATGGGTATTGAACTATTGACTCTTTTTCGATTTGTTTTCCTGTGTGTCTACAGTAACTAACAATAAACCAACAATAGAAGCATGAAAGTCAACTATTCTTTGATTTCTCCAAAAGCCGGGTGATTATTGAATTGTATAAGTAATTGATAGATTATAGATGATTACAAAAACAATTAGTAAAATAAGGATACACTTTTTTGAATAAAGCAATTAGATAGGTTGTATACTGTGGGATATCATTCAATCTTTCCTGTTTTACCCGTTATTAATAAAACATAACCGAGGGTATGTTTGGTATGATGGAATGGAGTCAGTCCATTTTCATGTTTGGTTTGGCTTGAAGGAATGGAATGAGTCATTGAAATCTATTTGTTTTGTATAATCTCTATAACTAAATAAAACTAAATTGATAGATAAAGAAAAATGTTATTTTTAAAGGAATGCACTAAATTGCTAAATAAGAGGTGGCATTTTGGTTATTAATTATCTCAAACAGGTAAAATCCAGAAGTTATTTCTGATTTTGTTTGTGTGATGACAGAACTTGCAATGTGGAGATGGTGTGACAATTGAAGGGCAAAATTACACAATCTCAGCAGTAACTCACAGGTATCAGCTTCGAAAAGGTAAATATGAACCTTTTGAGAAGAGGCTTGATGTTCTCTCCACTGGAAGATACATATTGAATTTATATCTTGAAAATTTATTAGAACAATCTTAAAGAAACAAATCAAGTAGATTAAAATGTAAATCCGACTTTTAGGTCAAATAAGAGAAGTGTACAACTTTTACTACTCATGATGGTATCGTATTATTACTGCATGTTAGTTATGTTCAATACTAGAAAATTATGCTAAAAACGAACTCATCATCACACATAAATCATCATCTATCACTAATGACTTTTTCGTCCCTGTTTCCGTTTTAGTATAAACTAGACACGGTGGAAGTAATGGACTTAAGAAATAATAGAAAGTAAAAGGTAACTTTTTCAGTAGCAATAGAAACTTAGGAGGACTTAAGTTGCCAAACCACAAAAGTCAGGGACAAAATTGAAACTTAGGAGGACTTAAGTTACCAAACCACAAAAATTAGGGACCAAATAGAAACTTGGGAGGACTTAAGTTGTCAAACGACAACATTCAGAGACCAAAGTTACTAAATAGCGAAGTCCACCGAATTTGCTACTTAGTATAGATATAATGACCTCTGGTTGAAACTTGGTTTTCTTTTTTGGGATAATGAAATAAATGGATAACAAACTATATAAAATGTTTAAAAAATATCATCAAACTAAATAAATGTTGTCACAAGGTAACACATTTTCATTTTTGTTTTTAAAACAACATTGTAACATGGAATAGTAGGTTTTCTCGGTTATAACTTACAATGGTCTTTTAAAAACAAAAATAAAAGTTCTTTGTCTTCTAACGAACATTTATAGTTCAATGATATTTTTCAACGGGTTTAGATATAGTGTCACTCTTTTATGCCATTATCCATTGTATATTACCGCTTTTGATTATTTATTATTATTATTATTATTTTTTTATTCATGTGAATTTACCCTAAATTGTTATAAATAACTCGAATTGTGTTATAAGCAAACCTTCCTTAAGCAAGGACTATAATACTCACATGGGTTTTGTATAGGTTACTCAAACTTGACTAAATTTATTATCTGAAAAGAATCATTTAAATCTTAAATGATGGGATTATTCAAGTCCATGTATTCCTTCAAATACTTCCCGCTTAAGTTAACCGAGTATATATATCATTTCCATCATATAGATTTTCGGCTTTAATACTTTCCTTGACCATCTTTCTTTAGGATTATTTAAGTCCCTATATTCCTTCAAATTGAATAGGTTTTACTAAGAAAAACACTCTAAAAGTGTTTCAATTATTCATTTTTATGTATTCCTTCAAACTGAATAGGTTTCACTAAGAAAAACACTCTAAAAGTGTTTCAATTATTCATTTTTATAACACTAGTCTGAAAATGATGGGATTCTTGAATATGCATCATCATACTTCTCAAGGTTCTTCATACCTAGACTATTGGTTATAATACAATCAACCATATGAGAAATGATAGAGCCAAACAAACACTGACATCGCCAAACAAACACTGACATCTATTGATTCTCATTTAAAATGTTAGGAAGTAACCAAAACATTCCCAATTCCATTGATCTCATGCTAGATCTGAAACTGCTTTCACACAAACACATACGCATTATAAGTCACATATCTTTCTTCTGTCACGCATGAGTTCAAATTAAAGAGACATACTTGATTTCTTTAAATGGCTACTAATGAAATTAGGGGTGAGCGCGATGCCGTTATTGGCCAAAAGCTTACCACTAACAACAAATGCGGTTAATCCATTTCCAAAACCACTTGGTGCAGTTATTTTTGTGGTGTGGTTACTCGGTTATTTTTGCGGTGCAGTTTTGTTTTTTTTTTTTCGTGTTTCGGTTATTAACCGCATGGATTTAGTGCAGTTATTTTGTATGATTTTTAACAGCAGTTTAGAGTTCAAATAGTTTTAAAAGTTCAAACATATTACTTGTAATAATAAAAAAAGAATAAGTTATAAGACAATTAACTTAAATCACAAATAATTAATATCTTAAAAACGTAAAATCACTACTAAGTAAAATTTAAATATCTTAAAATTATGAAATTTCATCATTTTCCGAAGTTAAACATAACAAAAAACCAACAATTTCGTCTTTTAGAATTTTATTCTTTCATAAATGAAACTTGCATTATTTTAAATATTAAAAAAAAATTGTATATAATATATGCGCTGCGGTTTTTAAAAACTAATAGCCGCACCGCACTATAAATTTGTGGTTTTTGAAAAATTGAAAACCTTACCATCGGTTTTTATTACGGTTGCAGTTTATGCGGTTAATTTTAGTTGTAGTGCGGTTTTTGCTCACCCCTAAATGAAATACTAATCCATTTGTTCAATTTCGTTTCACTTCTCCAACAATCTCACCGAATCACCTCATTGGTAAACACTTTGGATCGTCCATCGTTGAGCACTACAACCGTCAACTTACATATAAATCTTAATAGTTAATACAATACACCTAGGGCTGTAAACGAACCAAACGAACACGAATAAGGTCTTATTCATGTTCGTTCGTTTAAGTTAGCCGAACAACAAACGAACACGAACGGATAAACGAACGAGATTTTCTTGTTCATGTTCGTTCGTTTAACAAATTACTTTGTTCATGTTCGTTCATTTATGTTCGTGAACATGCTAAACGAACATAAACGAACAAACATAAACGAACATAGATAAAAAACACAACTGAACATATATGAACATAAACGAACATATAATATAACAATATAATAAAAAATAATTGAATATAGATGAATATAAATAAACTTAAACGAACGAACATAAACGAACATTATAAACGAACGTTTACGAACATAAATGAACGAACGAGATCATTGTTCATGTTCGTTCATTTAACTAAACGAACAATAATTTTTGTTCATGTTCATTCATTTATTAAATAAACGAACATAAACGAACTTCCCGCCGAACAGTTCATGAACGGTTCGCCGAACGTTCAGTTCGTTTACAGCCCTAATACACCTTCTATGGTGTTATCTAAATAGTGTTCATGTGTTAACTTGCACATTACCCTAACATCACATGAAAAACTTCATTAATCCTTCACAAGCTTCACTAAGACCCATCTTAAATCTTGATATGAATACTCATGGTGCACCTTAGTATACTTCCTCCTTTCATCCATGGTGGATATCAAGACAAACCACAAAAAAAAAAAAAAGTTTCATCCCATGCTCTCTTCTCTTATTGTTTCCTTTGTATCTCTATCACACAAACTCTCTCTCTCTCTCTCTATATATATATATATATATATATATATATATATATATATATATATATATATATATATATATATATATATGTTTGCATTCTCTTTGTTTTTTGGAAAGATATCGAGTAGGTACACAATGAAATCGATATATTAGTTTTATATTGCTTACTTACTTCTCAGAAAAACATATGTATATGATGTAGGGATACTAACATAAATGGGTAACAAAATATCTAAAGCGTTTTGAAAACATCATTGAACTATAAAAATTATCGGAAAGGACCACTTTTATAAAGACCATTGTAATCGAGAAAAATTGCTATTCCATGTTACAATGGTATTTTAAAAACAAAAAATCAAAAGCTTGTTACCTTAGAGAGTGGTGAGTTTAGAATGGAAAACCACATGGTTTACTAATTTTTTTATATATATATTTTTCTATACAATTCAAAATTTTTTTAGGTAAGAGAGGTCCTAAATGTTTTTTCAAAGTAGGTACTTAAAAAATTTCTATAGTAATTTTAGATAAATTAAAAAAATCAGATGGGTTTTAGGACCCACATTCCTTATATCTAGCCTCGCTAGTACCTTCCAACTATATTTATTTTGGTGGTATTGTTAAGACATTTTCGGCTGATTACACAACTCATTTATGTTAATTATTCATTTTTTTTATGTTTCGTAGTTGCTACGTTACTTTTTTTTTTTTTTTTTTTTTTTTTTTTTTTTTTTTTTAATTTTTAATTTTTTTTTATGTTAATTTCTTTATTTTAAAATTTGGTAGTCTCTCAATGAACACATCTTATTTTTTGAAAACTGTGTTTCTTACTTTTGAACTTATAAGATGGGTCTCAATTTTTTTGACGGATCATGACATTTTAAAAAACTAGACACTTTTCCACCACTTTTACCCTTGTCCCATTTATCCATGAAATACTCAACTAAGTTCTAAGTTCTTATAAGTTTTGCATCACATTTTGTTTAGGATTAACTAAAAACCATATTTTATAAAATCTCAAAGTAAAAAAAAAAGGATTAGGTACGTCCAAGCTATTATATTTAACTCACAAATTAACTATTTGTCCAACTACAAAATTGATGCTTTTTTTGTTCATCGTATGCAAATTGAAGAGCTCAAAAATTGTTTTAATAAAGTAACACCGAAATTATTTATTTATATGCATTTTACGGGAATGATGTATTCAAAATGGCTATATTTTATCCTAACGATTTCTTAGAACACAAATTTGGAGCATTTAAAGCAAATCTTCAAAATTATATTTTGGATGTATGTACGGATATAAGATTTAATAATTTGAAGGAAACTGAAAAGTACGCAAAGATGATGGTTGAAATTAAACAAGCATGCTATATATTTAGTGATATATCTTCTACTAAAATTAATACTAGTTTTCTCCGTTCCAAAATCCAAAATGGAAGGTGTATTTTTAGCAATGATGTTGATAAATAAGTTTTGCATGATAAACTATTGATCAATTTATGAATGAGTGTTATATATTGAGAAAAATATGTTTGGTAATATTATCAACAATATACACTTATAAATTGTGTGTGAATCATGCTCTAAGTTGTGTGTGAATCATGCTCTTACTGAGCCACACCTACGGATTGGTGTGAAAATTGAAACAAACTTTAACCATCTATTTTGGGATTTTGCAATAGCAATTAGGCGTCCATAATTCTCATTTTAATATGAAACATGTCATGATAATTATTTAATAGTTTTGAGTATAACGAGTTTAGTTGTATGAAAAGTCTAAAGGGGTGTCAATGTCTTTATAGTTCAATGCTTGCACGTTTTGATATCTTTTCAATGATTTGTTGGTGTGTGTTTGGTCAAATTAAAATATCTAAAGGCGAATTCATTTATGGACAATTAGTGTTTAATATAATATTACATTCTAATGATCAAGAAGAAGAATTTGTTGGGAGTAAGGTATATTCACGAATTTATTAAAAACAATTAACAATTAATTCATTAATTCATAATCAGAATTAGAGAAACGTACATGTTAATGCGCATACAGCATAACTTTATATTCTTTATAACTAAATTAAAAATAATACAAAACAAACAAAATTAGTACCAATCCAACAAAACATGAGAGATAGTAAAATATATAAAACTAGAGAACATTTAACTACTTACTTTTATGATTTAACTAGTTACTTGGATATATGATATATGCCAAAATTACAGGTTTCACATGCATCATTGGCTTATTCTAAAGAGATGGTTTATAAAATATCACATTCTTCGATAATAATAATATCATAATATATGTTGTATTGTATAATTTCTTCGCCCTAATCCTCATCATCAGCCCTCATCCTCATCATCAACTATAAATACAAGATTTTGCTGTTGCTTGCGAGCTATTATCGAACTAAGTTCTGAAATTGGTTGGATGCAAAGTGAATTTGTGAGGAATAAATGAACCTGTTTGGAAACTTAATTATTGGGATTTTGCAGTTTCTTTAATTCAAAATATATGCTGGTTAGACTTTTAAATATCAAATAAAAGTGGTTTTGTTGAACTATAGTCAAATAGTTATTTTAGTGAATATCTTATTAGTTATTGTGGCCAAAAGGACAAAAAAACGAGATGTTAATTGTTGCCTTTTTCCAAACAACCCAAAGGCCAAAACCTCTACCTACGACATGTGAAATTGTAAATGATAAAAATCTTTTTTTGAAATCCAAATCCATTAACATCTCAGCCGTTCCCTTGCCCTCCAAGTTTATCCAACTCCCTCTCTATATCTCCTCCTCCGTTCGCCGTCGATACCTATTCCGGTATGGCTGCCGCTTCAGAGAACGGTACCGTTGATATCTCTACTGAAGCTGTGGTGGTCGATGATGACGTCAAGTTCGGATTCCAAAGGCAGGAGATGTACACCGAGAATCTCTCCGGATCAGTCCATCCTTACGAACGTCACGTTTTCCTCTGCTACAAGACTAGCGAAGACTGGCCTGCTCGTGTTGAATCCTCCGACTCGGATCTGCTCCCTAAGCGACTTGCTGGAGCTATCAAGGAGCGCAAGAACGATATCGCTGTTAAGGTTATTGTAGCTCACTTGTGTTAATTATTCTAATGAGGTATTTGAAGGTTTTGAGTGTTGACGAGTTTTTTTTTTTCTATTCACGATCTGACTATTGTAGACTCTGATGACGATATTCGAGGGCGGTGCTGCTAATGGTTTGTCAGATGGAGATGTTTTGATTTTTCCTGATATGATCAAGTACAGGTATTGTGAAGTTCGCTAGGGTTTTATAGTCATCAGCTATTTGTTGCGTGTGTGCTATGTAGATTCGTTTTTTTTTCTCAGATTTCTTTTATGGTTCTCCATGAATCTACGATCTGTTGCTTTTGTCAATTTGAAAGCAAAACAATACTCGACGCCATGTGAAACATAGCGGAAATTTTGCTCTTATAGTTTTGATAGAGTTGATACTTAATATAGCATATTATTCGGTCTTGAGCTTCAAATTTGACCATGCTTATATTCCGCATCATACCTAAACTCCATTTCTTTTGCTAATATAAACAAGTGAAATTGGATTTGAAGTATAAAAACACTGAAGTTTACTAGCCCCCGCCATGATTAGAACTTTGTGTAAATAGTAATGTTGATTGAAAAGGCAAAATCTGTGCTAGCAAGATGATTCCTTGAATGATAATGTTAGAGGAAAGCTTAGAGAACTTGCAAAGCAATCATATATATCAATAAATTTGGAGGATTCATGAAATGATGAAATCACACTTTCAATTTTAAACAATCTTAATTGAGGACTGAAAACACGATAACTTTTCTTCAAAGATGATCTTATTTAGGGTATCCATTATCCAAATCTTCACATAATAGAACACATCGATATGTAGTTTACTTACTAGTGCATTTGTGAATGAAGGGGTTTGGAAGAATCAAACATTGATAGTTTTGTGGAGGAAGTGCTTGTGAATGGAAAACCATGGGCTTCAGGAACACCGGAGGTAGTGACAGGTTCATACGTGTTTGTGTGTGCTCATAGCAGTCGAGATAAAAGATGTGGTGTTTGTGGGCCAGCTTTAATTGAAAAGTTCAATGAAGAGATTGAAGTTAGGGCATTGAAGGAACAGGTGTTTGTGAGTGCTTGCTCACATGTTGGAGGACATAAGTATGCAGGGAACTTGATAATATATAGTTCAGTTGAAGATGGAAAAGTGTCTGGACATTGGTAAGACAATCCATAACCATTTATTTCTTCTTAATTTTCTATTTGAAGCAGAGTCTATAACATTTACTTGCCAAAGAATGTATTAATTCATTTTTCTTATGACTACTTTCTTGTGTTTTTGTTGTATAAGGTATGGTTATGTTACCCCAAATGATGTGGCTGAATTGCTTGACCAACATATCAAGAAGGGTGAGATCATTGAAAGGATTTGGAGGTACCCTTTTCCCCTCTAATGTATCTAGCTTATTTGGCTTTATTTTCCAATTTAAAAAGGAAATTAATACTGTTAGAAGCTTGTGCATAATGTGATAATGCAGCATACGATCATATTACCTAAATGAATCTACTGATTAATCCTTAAAAACCATTCATCACTAGAAACGACAAACAAATTTCTCATGGAATTGATGATTTTTTTGCTTTTGCTGCTAAATGACCAAAATATCCCAAGATCTGCATGTCCTGAATCATTCACTGTCAAGCTTTCACGGTCAAGTTGATTGATTTTAACTTCCTTCAATTTTGACTTTCTGCTCTTGACCAGATTTGACTTTCCTCCAATTTTGACTTTCTTCTCTTGACCTTTATTGACCAGATTTGACTTTCCTTCATTCTTTTTGACCCTCTTTTATTTTGATCGATGTATCCTTGTTTTGACATTTGACTCAACTTGACTTCCCTGAATTGAACGATTTGCCCCCGACCTGCAAAAATACGTTCCAAAAAACACAAATACGGCCTGCCAATGCCTTTTATCCATTTCTTTTATCTCATAACTAACTAGCTTTTAAAATATAATTACAAAAACTATCATAAATATAATAATGCCACATTTTAATAAACAATTTAGGAGGTTGTAAAAAGTTGATCAGCTTTTAAACAGTTCAACCCATTTTGTTCTTAACTAATGTGGTAAAGTTCTTGGATTTTGTCTCATTCAACTCACTAGCAAATAAAATATAAAGCTAAATACAAGACATAGCAATCTGCTGTTTCAAAAAAAAATGAATTATTACATCATTGTACTTTCAAATTATCACAAGTAAATTGCCCTAATACGAAATATTCTAGAACTAGAATGCTATAAATATATTCTGAACATGTTATTGATTCCACTGCAGGGGTGAAATGGGTGTTCCTCCAGTTGAGAAAGCTGACAAGGCAGTTGAAAAGTCACTTCCAAATGGAAATGATTCAAAGGTGAACGGGAAAGATGATGAGAAGGAAAACACTGGAGGCTGTTGTCAAGGTGCTAATGGGTTCTCATGCTGCAGAGATGAAAGCTCAGGGGCAAAAAAGTCAACTTGCAACGTCAATTTTTTTACAAAAAAATGGGAGCAGCATGATATGTTTACAGCTGCTGCTGTAGTTGGAGCTGTTGCAACTGTTGCTGTGGCTTATAGCCTTTATAAAAGGTCACGTTGAGGTTAGAATTAAGTATCTTAATCAACATACAAAAAAAAAAAAAAAAAAAGGAGTTAAAAGTCTACGTGGTATTATATTACTTACATTACATATATAACCCTGTTTGTAAGGGTGGGAACTACTACTAGCATCTATGTGGTATTTTGATGATCCTGTTTTGCTAGTTTTATTTTGAACCTCTTGATGATACCAAGCTACACAAGCTGTATGACTATGAATGAATAAATGGTATACCGATATTAAAGAGGGGTTTTACGAGATGATGTTGGTAGTTTTGTTAGGCTTTGTTTGGAGATATTTTTGGCTATAGTTCATATATATCTACACCTATTAAATCATATTCTAAACCATTTCTTTTGTGCACCACGGGATTTAAACCCTTAACCCTGCAGAGAGGGACACCATTTTACCGTGAGGCAAAACATTATCTTAAATATCTAAAAGCATGGAAATTTAAAACTGAATCGGAGAAATCTCTAACAATCATCTAGTCTTGGCTTGTCTCTTTTGCCCAACACCCTATTTCTACAAAATTAAGAAAAGAGAAAAGCAAAATCAAAATATTATTAAGCCGATTTCAAAAAGATGGCATAGTCTACTGAAGAACTTACATGTGGACTGTGGTGCGTCGATGGCGGTGGTTCTATGTTGGCAGTTGTCCAGCTATGGAGCAACAAGGGAAAAACAGGTGTGTGGCGGTGGCAGCTATTCAGCTCAAGGAATAAGAGTGGTTTTTTTTTTAAGACATTTGCATACCTTAAAAATGATTTTCCATGTCTTTTAAATTTTTTAAAAGGACTCGCAAACGTTTTAACGTCTAAAGTCTTCCGAAAAAACAAAGTCTTCAAGAGAAACATGTGTTTGCAGACAAATGAGGTCAACAAAAGCTATTGAAAAAAAAAAAAAAAACAACACAACCTAAAAGCATATAAAGAGTTTTGTCGATGAGTTATTTTGTTACCGTTTTATCACCATATCAACAAACAGCAAAACTTATCACACCTATACTATAGCTAAGATTTCTAACAAAAGTTATTTATGGGTCATGCCAATATTAATTTATAAAGTAAATTAATAGATTAATATTAAAAATATGAAAAAAGAAAACAATCTATTAAACTTATAAATTTAAAACAACGTGAAAAATCTTGAAAATAAAAAAACTTTAGCAATAGTTTATTTATTTATTTATTATTATTTTTTAATCTTATATTACTTATTTAACACGATAAACTTTAAAAAACTTCTATTATAGATGTTCTTAAGTCTTGTTTTTATCCAACCATTTACAAGATTATTGTGATACAATCACGTCAATATTTGATAAAACACACATATATGTGCACGTGTGCCTGCACAAACCCAGACGTACACATACACACATCACACACATACGCACACCACACACAAATACACATGGTTGAACTTACTACCCATAATAAGGATTCTTCCCATGTAATACCAAATGATGGTGCACAAATAGGTGCCCGACCCAGCACCTAAACCAAAAGTCAAGCCCATGCCAACGATGTCTGTGAAGGCCTCGCATTGAAAGTTAGAAATCATACATGAAAGACCACCCCATTGAAAGTTTGAACCTCTTTTTTGGGAAAGAGGCCGAAGTGATGATACTAAGCTCGAGCTATCCTCTACCAAAAAGCCAGACTTCTATTGTCTTTTTTGTTTTTTCCATGTTTTTAAGTAATTACATAATTTTATATTGGTTTGTTTATTGTAGCATTATACTTTTATGGTTTTCATCTGGATGTTTGATAAAAAAAAAATTAATCCATACAAAGATACAAATAGCGATCTTTTGAACACTTGCCCCCACCCCCACCCTTCGGTATCCTCCCTCCTCATATTGCAATATAACTGTTTGCCCTAATGTGCTTTCCGAAACATTCTCTACCATTATATAGTATGAGTTTTGTTTGAATTCTTCTGTTTTCAATTGATTTTTGTATACTTGTAGACTTGAAGTTATTGACAAATGTTCATGGATTTCTTGTTTAAACTTCGTTTTCGCTTTGTTCGTGTGTCTATTTGATGGATAATATGATATACATGCTCAAAACTTACGTTTGCATGTTAATGGATCATTAATATTGGTGTATTTAATCATATTTTTTATGTATCTAATCATATATTTAATGATCATTTATATTATTTAAATCCATACACATAAGTGGCAACACGCTAAATCACGCTAAATTATGGATTAGCATTTGTTTCATATTTATCCACATATTTGTTTCAGTCATGTTTTTACAGAATTATATTTTACCCCGACTCCGACCGAAGCCAGGGAATAGCCCGGTAATACCTCCAGACCTTTGGACCAATGAATTTAGCCTGGGTTGCCGGTTAACCAGTCAAAGCCCGATAAGGCCCACCACAAGCCTTGGCCCATTGTGCAGCTCTATTACCAATTATCAATGAATTAATGAAGCATAATGTTAATTCCAAAGTCCTTCTATTTTAGTTTATTTTAGTGGATATGATAAAACCAACGTGTATAATAAAATATATACAACCACAAGAACAGGAAACAGAGTAAAAGCTTCTCTGTTTTTCTGTAAAACCATTCATGTAGTAAGCCTAGCAATCATCTCCTCCACCATTCCAACCTCCGTTCCACCTCTGTAAATCTCCACCATAACCTCCTCCACCACCACATTCTTCAACCTCTCACCACCACCACCACTCTCACAGTCCCTCAAAAGCCTAAGCAGCGATTTAGCACTCCCTTTAGCTTTCCTTGTCCCATCAAGACTAACCTGAAGCAAACCCGGAATCGCTCCTTCACATAAAATCATTCCTCTGTATCTCTCCCTACTACTCTCACATATCATCAACAAAATCCCAACTGCGTACTCCTTACACTGCTTCGAACCTTCTTCTACACTCTCCACAACTGCCCTGATCCCGATTTCTGTCGATGAAATCGCTTTCAACGCGATCTCTGATGAAGAAGACAAGTGTTCGAGTAGACACATTGATTTCTCGACTAGTTTGGATGATTTTTCGGATTCGTGGATGAGGTGGATTAAAGAAGATGATGTAGATGATGAAAGAAAGGTGGGGATATATGGTGATAGGTTATGGAGAGTGACTATGATGTCAAGTTTTACTTGGGTGGTGTTGTTTTGAAGGAGGGTTTGATTTAGGGTTTCGATTGCACCTGATGTCGCCATTGAGGGTTTGTTTGACGAGCAAGATGATAAGATTAAAAGTGCTGCTATGGCGTGGTCGATTAATGGATGGATTTGGGATCGTATGAGGTTTAAAAAGAGAGGAATAGCTCCTGATTTCGCAATCCGGATCTTGTTTCTGTAAAACATAACACAGAAAGTGTTAATTCCAATCGATTACGATTCACTTTTTGAGGCTGAAAAGCTCAATAAATTCGATTCAATCCAACTCCATAAATTCGATTGCTTATTTATATGTTTCAAACAAAGTTTTATACTCATTTCCCCATTAGATTTCGATTCAGTCCACCTGGAACTCGAATCTAGTCAAAAGTGATGCAGTTAGTGTGTTCGAACGAAACGAACCTTTCGCTGCCATAGGCGAGACTGAGGAGAGCAAAGAGTGCAGATTCTAGGGATTTGAAATCTGGAGGATTATGAAGCATGGAGATGAGAGGAGGAATGGCTCCATTATCAGCCAATTTGTGTCTCTGTTTGTTTGTGAGATGAATAACTGCCTCTGTCGCGGCGGCCTTGGCTCCATCATCGCCGAACAAAAGCGCTTCCACCACAGCTACTTCCGCCATGAAATCTGATCGGAAACAAACCTATACGGATTAAGCAGATTATAGGGGAAGGATATATGATTTGCGTGAGTTGATCGTTGATATAAGCAAGTAGGATGGATGCTTTATTCAGAGTAATATTGGAAGAGAAGCAAAGGCTACTAATACTATTCCTTGTGGACCATTTTAGGCAGCTTTTCCGGTGACTGTTCGGAGTTGGGGATTGGTATCTCTCCATCACTTTCCTTAAATAGAAAACCTGCCCCAAGATTTTATGTAATAACTGACACAATTACTATATTAATTATTTATAAATTTTAATAATCATATTTAATATAAACTTACTAGATTTTTGGATACTTATTGTATTTAGTGACTTGACACCTCAGGTGCCATAATGTTCATGCTTATGCAAAAAAACTCTTTTTGTCATAAAGTATTCAAACTAACAACCTTAATATATCTTAACAAATACTAAAACTTTTTCATAATAAAGTTTTTTTTTTTTTTTTTTAAATAATTTTTACATTTTTTTTTTATATATCTCAACTATAATAAAACATCACATTCGTTCAATAAATTAAATATATCTCAATTATAGTAATTTCATTTTCAGAAAACTTATTTATGGATCCTATCAAAATGACCCCAAGTCTTCACCTTTAACCAAATTGACCACAAAGTAGAAAAAAAAAACATTTCTGAAATACAATAAACAAGTAATAGGTGCAAATGAAAACGAATTACACAACATATGTATATCCGAAATCCAAAATTGACATGTTTTGGACATGTAATTATTTTGGAAAATGCTCAAAAGTTGTCATTTATCTATATTTCCAAAAATCATATGGTTATTTTTGTGATCATACCATATTGCCCTACGGAAACTATAGAGAGTGAAATTGTATAATGAAGATATCGGGTTCAAAATTTGAACATGCTTTATGAAGTTTATCTTTTTCAGAATGAAGTAAAAAAAATATCCCGCTCTTACTATATTTGTCATTTTATTCTTTCATACAAACTCAACAACCTTCATTTTCCTAGCATGTTGTCTTTTTCCGTTGGTATATATATATATATATATATATATATATATATATATATATATATATATATATATATATATATATATATATATATATATATATATATATATATATATATATTCTTGTAGACTTGTACTAGCTCCAATCTAATATCAATTTAATACTCATAATACTTATACTTAGGTAGTGTTTGGTTGGTATTCATTAAATGGAACAGAACATTACTTACCAAATGTGATTTCTTCTT